ACTCTCTCTCTCTCTCTCTCTCTCTCTCTCTCTTCATTGGCTGCTACCATGGGTAATAAAAATTTGTTTCTTATGCTCACCGGTAAATGTGCAGTGTTGAGGAAATAATCAATTATCATTTAGAGATATCATCATAGATAAAAATGTGTGTCTTATGCTCACTGGTAAATGCGCACTGGGTTGAGGAAATAATCAATTATCATTTAGAGATATCATCATGGTTTTATGCGGAAGTTGAATCACATAGCAATATACATTACAATGAATAATGTATCATTTGTTTGTTTGGAAGTGCTGAACTCTACAGCTACGTAACTTGTCCATTATAAATGATATTGATGACGACTTTGTCATGTGAGGCATAATTCATTGTTTAATTGTAGGCGACAGACGAGGCTGCTCTTGTGTTGATCATCCTGACGATGGTGTTTATGTTGGTGCCCCTGAATTCTATCATTATGCTGGTATTTCTTGAGGTTTATACAAGAGAAATGCCTCGGAGGAAGGCAAGCAGTGAGAAGCTGATCCGAAGATTGAAGGAATGGTGGGTTAGAATACCTGCTGCTCCTGTTCAGCTTATTAAGCCTGAGGACGACAAGAAAAAGGAGTAACAAACTCTTGGACAACATCCTTCACCAGTGATCCTACAAATCTCTCTCTCTCACCTTTTGTGTATGCATATCTTATTTTTTACCATCATTGCTTCTTGTATATCATTGAGTTATTGCAGCGAGTATTAGGTTATCAGATTTTGGCAGTTATATCAGAATTCTAAATCCTTCCCAGAAAGCAGCTCAACTGAGATCTCTGAGTTTTTAAATACAGAGCGCACGCGGACTTCTCATAAATGGTAACCAAAAAGTAGCAGAAGCCCCATGCTGCATATACCTGAATTTGTATATATTTTTCATGCGAGTGATAAAAGTTGTGTTTTTCAAAATTTTGTTTTGATAATTTTAACTAATAGTTTATAATAATATTTTATAGAAAAAAGATGGCAGGGTGCACTATTTATTTCCGAATTTTCTGGAATTTAAGATTTATCATTTAATGAGAGAAAATTCGTGGTTCTCCTTCCATTATCCTCACAAGTGTTGAGAAAAACAGGATTATGAGGAAGAAAAAGAACTGAGATTAAAAAAGAAGAAGGAATGCAGTGGAGCTATTTTAGCAGGGTTTATTTTTTGTTTTTTGAAAACCATTTCTTCATTAAAGGACTCCCAAAATTTTGAAAATAAGCTTTTTGTAGTCAAAATTAGTTATATTTAGTTGCCTTATTGTAGATACTGAGACAAATAGATATTTCTAACTATGATACATAAATGATAGTCAATGCTCATCTTTTATTCGAACTGTGGGTGAAAAAGATAATGTTTTTTCACATCCGCGCCTTTGTTATTTTTGCCTCTTCAAATAACCATATGCGTTTGGGGGATAGGAAATAGTAAAATGCTAAGATTCTAAATTAAAAAAAAATTACTGTTACTCAAGGAGAGACTTTCTTAAAATGATCTAGCCTCTGTCTCTCTCTCTACCACCTAGATCTCTAGGTTAGCAAAGATTATATGCTCCCGGGAGCATATCTTATATGTTCTAATAGTTTCTAAATCAAGAGTGTTTTTAGGACCTCTAATTTTGAGCGTTTCGAAGGCTACTTGTGGATATAAGCCTCAAGAACCTCAAAAAAGGAAAAGAAACTCTCATTTTAGATGCACTTCAAAAATATGGTTTATTAGTGGAGACCATCCAACTTTTGAATGGACAAATTAATTGAGCTAAATGGCACAATTAGGTTATATTATTAAGGGATCATATACAAAGAGATCATTTATCTTTTGTATATGAAGATCACAATCATTCTTGTCGTTTAAATTTTAAATAAGTGTTTGTAAGAGTATTATTGAATAGACACAAAGTTTCAAAACAAAATTCACGAACTTCGTGACTCATCGCAAGCCATCCAATTTGTCATCTAATGAGTGTGAATGATTGTAACTTCTATATACAAAAGATAAATAGTTTCTTTGTAGACGACCCTTATTATTAAATGTAGTAATGTACTATGTATACTAAATTTCAGTTCCAAAACAAGGATTTTATCTAATCAAGATCAAGCTACTTGAGTTAAGTCAAAGAATATAAATGCCCTTGCTTGTTCTATATGTGCTTCAAACTCATAACAAGACATTTCAAAGTAAAATAAGTTATAAGATCAAAGTCTTTTTTTTTTTTCTTTTTCTTTTAAGTAGATTAGTCCCCTAAAAAGGGCTAGGGGCAGCTTGGAATCATTGAGATCTCACTAAAATGTTCGTCACCACTACCACGAGAGCCCTTTGAGTTATTTGAGTTGTTTGGGAGCAGGTTCAGTGGCAAGTGGTCAGGGTAGTGGGTGCCATTTCATTACATCTTGAGTTTCATTTCTAAATCACAATAGGGGATTCTTTTTAACTACCAAAAAAAAAAAAAACAACACATAAGCACATGGCCAAGGGGGTTAAATTATTAAATTGCCCTTGTTCCAATTCTGAATTGAAAACAAGGGCATCTTGGCATTCTTTAACAACTACTGGGGAAGTACTTCAATGACTTTCTTTCTTTAGAATAACCACCATACTGAAAAATTTGTTGTTGTGAATGATTGCCCTTTTCTTTTAAGTGGTTTGGCAAACCATTTTCCTTTATGAGAATTGTTTCATGAGGGTCGACTACAGTGGTCCAGAAAATGTAAAGGAAGTAGGTGTTCCATTTAAAAACAATGGAAATTAACAGTCCAAATGTTTTTTTACATGAATTATTGTCTCTAGTTTTTTAATTTTTTAATTTTTTTCATATTCATGTTCTCTATGTTAGATATTACATGTTCTTAAAAATTAAATCTTAAAATCCATCTTACAAATAGATTTATTAAGTTTTAAAGGACCCGGTTTTTATGCGGTCAAGCCTGCATATGTAAAAAATGCGGGCCTCGTAATAAATCTATATTTTAGATGGATTTTATGACTTAATTTTGAAGGACAAGTAACATGAAGATCATGAATAAAAAGAAAAAAACTAAAAATAATAAATATAGTAAAAAGACATTTGGACCCTTAAGTTTTCATGATTTTTAGATGAAACACCCACTTATATCCATCTTTACACTTTCTGGATCACATGAAATGCGGTCCAGCGCCCACACTTATATCCATCTTTACACTTTCTGGATCACATGAAATGCGGTCCAGCGCCCATGAAACAATTTTCCTCCCTTAAAAGGCTGACCTGCTGGGGAAGTACTGGAGTGAAATATGCTTTTCAAGTAACCACCATTTCGAAAGATTGGTTGTGGTGAATGATTGCCTTTGCCCTTTCCTTTTTAAGTGGTTTTGTAATTTGAACATGTTTAGCCAAATGGAAACAAGGGAACCAATCATCAAATACGAATGACACAAGGGTGTCGTGGTACACAGGAGCTGCAGCCAAACTGCTCCCATGGCTCTTCTTCCCACTAATCCCATGGCGATGGTCAGCTCCTTTTTCTCTCTCTCTCTCACTCATATTCTCTATTCCAATGAACCCTTTTTCATATAAAAGTTTTTTGAAAATGTGACTTTTTCTTTCTCTTGAAGGCAAAGCAGAGTCCCATGGCTTCCTTCTCCTTAAAGCGCCTGAGGAGGCCAGAGTCAAGGGTCCTAAGAGTTAAAGCTTTCCTCAATCCTCTTGAAGATCCTGTAGTCAAGGAAGCTCTCAAGGTACATAAAGCTTCTTCCTTGAAGAGTTCTCTAGGGCTTTTTTTTAGAAAATCTGCCTTTGTTTAGTTTCCCTATCTCTGGAGCTCCTCAATCCTTGACTAGTCAGGGGCATATTTTATGTATGATGCTTTATTGGGTTTTTTTTTTTTGTAGATGTTGAAGCTGGTTTTTCTCTGAGAAAAATGCCAGTGTGCTATTTAGAAACTTCTCTCTCTTTTTTATTTTATTTTATTAATTACATCTACACAGAAATATTTGAAAAAAAAAAACGTATACACAGATGCATGCATTTTTTCATTTTCTTGAATGCTTCCATCTAAGAAAAGCTTAGATGGATTCCATTTGGCGCCTTCATTTGATGCGTGGAGAGAGAGAGAGAGTGAGAGTTATAGAGAAAGAGGGAGAGAGATTTTAGGGAAGTGGGAGTGAGACGGTAGAGAGAGATTTTAGAAAAGAGGGAGTAAGAGGAATAGAAAAAAGAGTGGGAAGATGCTGTTCAAATTTGGGATTTGGGTAATCCGTACGTGCTTATAGCTAGCTTTACACGGTTGTATTTCAACACCAGTCTGTTTTCAAGATTTTCATTTGTTTATAGATCTATGTGATTTGAACAATCTTTTGATTCTAGAATTTTATAATTAGAGATGAAGATGGATTCTCAGGTCATCCTAATAACTTTTGACACCAAAATATAAAATTTGGAGGTGCACCTTATTTTGATTGTTGAAGTTTGCAACCTTATGCGAACCACACCCTTATTTATGCATATATATGCAACTTGGCTAAATCTTTTTTTCAAATTGATTTGCTTTTTTGTGACCTATTATTATTATTTGTGGGTTGGGTTCCCCCTCTATTGACTTTTTTCGGGCTACACGAATCCTGATTTGCTCTATCACTTGCTATACCCTCAATGAGGTCATAAGTCTCCATATTTTTTCTCACTACTTCCAACTATATCCTTTTGGGCCTTCCCATTACCCGTTTTGAGTCTTTCACTTGAACCAACTCGCACATGTTTGAGTCTTTCACATTAACCAACTCGCACCTTCTAACAGGTGTTAAACTGGGTCTGCATTTCATATGACCAACCCAACCCAATTAAGTCTATTTTCTCTTATCTTATTGCATATTGGAGCCAAATACTTATATTCTAGATGTATATGGAGACACATACAAAGGTTTTCTATTGAATTAAGCATTCTAGATATCTGGAAGATAGAAAACTGTTGCAGGATAAACTATTCAAGTAGCATAAGTTTTTGGAGATCGTATAGAATCAATCTCTCATCATCTGAGCCTTATCCCAATTGCTTGAAGTCGGCTAATGATATTGCTTCAAGATTCATGATAGGGATATGGCAAAAGTTTTTCGCTGGCTGCCAACCAAATACAACCCTCTTCTCTTTTGAGCTTGGGACAGGCAATGACCGAGTTATACTGCATTGTTCATAAACCCAGAAAGGTTTGTTTTTTTGGGTAAATATAAACCCAGAAAGTTTCTTGTAGGAAAAAATAAATTATACAATAAATAATTCAGCAAAAAATTGAAAGAAATAGTTTTGTCAGAAGTTTTTTTCATGCAGACAAGCTAAAAATTTACCTAAAATGGGGAAGGTGCACCTTAGATTATCCTCAACAAACAGTCACAACTTTTGGTGTTCTTGCAACACTAACTTTACCTAAATATATTTACCATTTGCCGATTCGACTTACAATCACACGGGCAATAGTAAAAATTAGCCAATTTGGCAAGTGCAGCCAGAGTCAACATAACCATAACCCAATTTAGTCATGGCATGCCGAAGTTGTGAACTAGAAGGGTAATGTCCTTTCACCTGCTAGACTAACCCAAAGGCCCATCCCACATTTATGTGATGTTCGTTTTGCCTACCGGACCCCCTTTCAACTGCGCACTTATCAAACAAAGAAGATGACTATAGGAATAGGAACGAATTCGCTTTCCGTGGCCAATTAACCGTCTCGTCCCATACCTTCTGCATGTCTTGTGTGTGTGTGGAATCAGGTCTTTTTCGGTTCCTCGCTGACTCTTCATCTACTTTTCTTGTTTAAATTAAGAAATCCCCAAAAATGAACACAAATAAATAAAGAAACATGCCAACTTGCCTAACCATCTAAATCATTTTCCGATTCAACTATATTACAGAGGATAAATTGAAACTACAAAAGCAACTGGTAAACATACCATGATGATGATAGAATCAATCTAATAGCTTGAAAAAAAAATAGTACTTGCAGGCCTTGCATCAACATGGCACCTGTTTTGAACGAGGCAAGAAAAAAAAAGTATCTCAATGACTTGTATCTAAATGAAAAATCTTCTCTCGTTCTCTTGTTTCTTTTATTTTGAGAGGGAGATGCACACTATCAGTTTTGTGGGTGATTCATGGAATACAAGTAAATGAAGGTAATGGGAGAAGCAATGAAGCTCATCACTCCAATTTCCATAAGGAGATGGAAAGAGAAAGTGTACTGTAAAAAGAAGTGTTTTATTACCATGTGAAGCATAATCGCTGTATTATATAAACTAGTGCAACATAAAGAAAAGGTAGACACATAAAGAAAAATTGCTTGCACACATAGGCTCTGGGTTCTTCTGTGTTTTCACTAAAACCAGGTTTGCTATTTTCTGCAAGAATTTCATTAGCATTTTGACATCTATTTGAGAAATTGGAGCTATTTCTATTATTTATGGGTTCTTAGATATTGATAGGCCTTCCACACGTATATATTTACTTGACATATTTTTGTGTTGGCCTTCAACAATGGTTTGTATTGTTTTTACTTTTAGGAGCCTGTTGCCTTTTTTGGTGGTATGTTTGCTGGAATTTTGAGGCTAGATTTGAATGAAGATCCCCTAAAAGAATGGCTCACTAGAACTGTTGAGGCTTCTGGAATCATGAAGGAAGATACTGAAACTGAAAAAACAGAGTCCGAAGAAGCTGTACCTCAGCAGATTGAGATTGAATGAATGCAAAATATTTGATTTGTTTAGTTTAATTTTTTTTTTCCCAGTATTTTCCATCTCCCAATACCCTTCCCACACTGGGTATTTGTGTTCTGGTTCTCACTGTTGTTAAAGTATTGGAAACTATTTATTAGATTTCTTCCACTTCCATTGGCTTTCAATTTTAAGTGCAAATGATCACTGAAACATCAAGTGCTTAAATATGCATGTTTCAATATTGGGCTTGGATTGTATAAGCTGTCAACCTTAAACTATCAAAGTAAGGGGCACCTCTAAATGTGGCTAAAGGACGTAGATCTGGTGCCAAAAACCCTTATGATAGTCTTAAAATCTATTTTTGACCCCTAATTATGAAATTTAGAGCTCAAAATATGGTGTAGATCAAACAAATCTATCCGCACTTAATTTTTTTAAAATTGACGGTCTAAGTAACATGTTACAATATGCACTATTTTTAGGACTTGAAATCTTTTTTTTTCCCATATCTATACATCTCGAAGTTGAGATGTTCAATTATAGAGCTTTTCGACGACAAAACAATCTTTTGGGTGGATTTTTGAGGTGCGCCTTACTTCTATAGTATAAGGTTGACACCTTGTATAAACTGTTTCCATTAATATATGTCTATTTTATCTTATCAGAAGATATCTATCGATTTAGTTTATGTTGGCTGTTGTACGTTAGATCAGCCCAAATTAGTTTTCTTTTTGGAGATTGAAGAAATACTTTGAACAATGAAATATTTAGTCAGCCTTGGTTTCATCTACATTGTTTCCCTTCAATTGCTAATTGAAACGATAATTGGCTTGTTTGAACCTTAACAGCTTATTTCATATACAAGAAAATTGTGATTTGCATCTAAGTCCTAAGAATTAAACAGTCCTTGGATGTCCTTTGCTTGGGGCCAATGCATGCATATTCAGAAATCAGATTGGTCATTGAAATGTGCTGTAGATTCTGAGATTGAAGGTATGGATCCAAAACCAATTTGATGTTGCTTTAATAGCAGTCTTCAGATCAAAATTTGGTTCCACCTCTATTATAATTTTGGATTAGAATTAGTGATGGTTTTATGATTTGTAATTCATGCAGGTCACCAGTTGGTGCAAAAGTTGAACTCTGAGCATGTTTGGTTTCAAACTGAGTTTTACTCCTTAGCAGTTAGGGAAACAGATAGTACCATATACACATGCTAGGCGTGGTATATTTTCCCGTGGGCAAATCTATCTACGGAGAGACAAAGAGATTAGTGGGCAATTCCTTGTTGCAAAACCTATTTCCATTCAAGAAAAACCAGAGATCAGTGGGCAATATCTTGTTGCAAGACCTATTTCGATTCAAGAAAAACCAGAGAGAAAGAGAGAGTAGTGGGCAATCCTGCCAATTTAAGAAGGAAGAGAGAGAGAGAGAGAGAGAGTTGTGGCAATTCTTCCTTGTAAAGCATCTTATCATAGGTAAAACCGTCAAGCTCACAAAAGACTAGCCATGAGAGGAGTGATTATTTATACATCCATAATCAGAAGAAGATAATTTTACATATAGTTTTGATTTTTCTACAAATTGGATTACCTTGGATGTCTGGGCATCAAAACTTTCAAGCTAAATGTACGAACAGAGAGACATTGCCCCATTTATACTCAAGTCACATTCGGCATGGTCTAAGAAATATGTGAAGCGCATGCAAGGAAAAGATATGACCTATAAAATATACAAAATTATTATAATGAGCCATCAAAAAAAGATATTACCATTGCAGATCTTAGTATTACAGAGCTTGTACCCCTAGCAAACAATACCAAAACCAGTGATTAAATTGCTGCTTTTGCTGCTTCTTTTAGCATTACATCAAACGATTGTGTGGAATTTTATGTTGTTGATGTAGGCATCAATCTGGCTCTTGAACTCAATGTTTTCCTCTCTAAATTGAAAGTGATTTGTCAATGCATATAAATGTTATTTAAGGGCGTTGCAGGACTCCAAGGGCACTTCACACAATAGCAGCCAATTGTCATCACAAACTTTCAGACCATAGGTGGAGCATTTTTCACATCTACCGCAAGGCCAAAATAGTAGTAAATACACTTGCCAAGACGGGGATAGCTCTCTCTGCCGCTATAGTTTTCCCTATGATAGGATTGTAGCATTATGATTTGCCTCTTTTCTATTTTTATTTAATGAAAAACGGATAGGGGCTTTCTCCCCTATTGATTTACCCAAAAAAAAAAAAGTCAATGATTAAAAAATTGGAGGTTTGACACTCGCCCGAGTAGACTTAACTCGATAGAGAGGTGACTCCTAAGGCAGAACCTTAGGACTCTCACTGAACCTTCTTTTATCAAAGAAATGCCTAGTTTCTCTGTTAAGAACTTGGGACTTGGCCAAGATCAGATACAAGGCCATTGGACCCTGGCGAGTCCCAGCTTGAGCACGTGCCTAGACATCTTGGACACACAAAATCATGATTGAGTTTCAAGTTATTCAGTGTTCATATGAAAGATTCTCATGTATGATTCATCACCAAGAATGAGACTATACAATAAGGTACACACCCTGAGTAAGTTGTTTGCTGCTGTTTGCTTCATTGCAGCTTCTGAGAGAGTGAAAGAGAAAGAGGGAAAGACACGGACACGCAGAAAATGTAATGGCCTATCAGACAATAAAAGAATGAAAAAAAATAAAGAAAACAAGATTTTCCATTTCTACATTAGCACAAAGTCGTCGTCGTCATTTTCATTTTGGGATGGTCGATACTGCTGGACAATCAATATAGAACCTGTCACCCAGAAATCAGAGGATGCAAGTAAGTCGCCAATGGGTCCGAGCTCCGAACATTCCTCCCAGTCTGTCATCCCGGCGGTGATTGAAGAGAGTCCCCATCGTCCACGCCCCACAATTACAAGCGTGTACATGCCCTCCAGAGACCGCAGAATATTCACCGTCTCCGAGGCATTGCTCACCACCTTCTCCATGTACGACACCCGCCTTGTCTCGACATACCTTTCATGGAAAATTATCGATAATTAACAATTATCAAGAAATACTTTTCTACTAATTTCATTTAAAAAAAAGATGAGAGTCATCTTCTATACTATATAGTATATATTGGAATGGAATGGATGCTATGTTGATTGATAGAGACCGTTAACTTTTTGTACCAGGGGAACCAGGCCGTTATGTTTGGTGCGCATAGGTCATAAACACCCCAAACAATCGCATGTAAAATCGAATGATATTATTAGTATTTTATTTTATTTGGTTTGTTTGAACCATGATAACTATTAATTTCATTAGATAAAGAAGCAAAGCTCCATTAGAGTCTGAGAAAATTTTGCATGAATTTTGAGTGTGATCAATTATACGCTTTTGTTTGCCTAATTTCAAATAGGATGGCTAGAGATGACTGATACTTGTGGTGCCTTAAAATACTATGCAGTATATTTTCTCAAAGTCAAAACACATTGTAAAAGGAAAACAACGAAAGAACATAGAAGTCGAGGTGTTTTTTTTTTTTTTGGACACGGTTTTTATGAGTATAGAAATAAGTCCCCTCTTAAAAATCTATTTTTGCCATGGATTTTTTGACCCAATTTTTGAGGACATATAATCGTTGACATGGATATCAAAATAAATAAACAAATTTTAAAAATTAAAAATAAAAACTTATATGAAGAAAACATTTGTCCTGTTAGCTTCAGCCGTTTTCAGATAGACCACCGATTTGCACCATCTTTAAGATGGATGCAAATGTAGAAATATGCCCTCACGTAAAATTGATTTTTTTTTTTTCTCTCTTTTTTTTTAAAAAAAATAATTAGGAGGATCGAGTACATTTTAGGCACGCACCTGTGATGAAAATCATCGATGAAAGCCTCATCCAGTTGCCTTTCCCTGTCCTGCTCGGAGATGGTGGCGAGTATCTTCATGTCGCTGTGCTCGCCTTGGACGTCGATCACCGATTGGCCACTGTCCTTTGCAGGATAGAAGCGTACCATTGTGAAGCTGATGCTGGGGTGTTCCACCATCCTGCACCCGAACGCCAGGGCCTCCCTGTCGTCGGGCCCCCCAAAGAATAGCATCGCCACATGGACCGACACATGAGAACCGGTTATTCGGGCAGTTCCCCCGAGCCCTCGGTCCACCAGCACCCCCACCGAGCACCGGGCATGGCGCAACACCTTCTGGTTGCATGTCCTGAACCCGGGGTTGCCAGCATCCATCTTGCCGTCCACTCTCTGTGATTTATGGAATGGAAGCACGACAATGGAGATGCGAGCTTCCCGCGCTGCGCTGCAGATGTCCTCGTTCATGTTGGAGAAGGAGGACACTGCTGACATTTTGCGCACGATGATGCCACTCTCGACCGAGTACGTGTCAAGAGCAGTGCCTATAATCTCTGCTGCCTCCTTTGAAGGGTCCTGAGCCTGGGTCGACAAGGACGTGCCGGGGGCCTCCAAGGGGAACGTAGCGGAGTCAGTCTGGTAGAGGAGGGCAGCCACGGTGCGGTCCGTGAGCTCCACCAAGTGCATGCAGAAGACCACAATGGGCGACTTTTGAGGTCCGCGAGACGCCTCAATGAGGTTGAGGGTCGCCGGGACTTGGTGCGTCCCATAGACGCAGGCGAGCAACCGGAGCTCTTGCTCCGGCCTCTCCCACTCGAGGCCCATATGCACATAGTTTTGGGCACGACGGATGCGCCCCACGATAAGCGCCACTGGCGGGCATGAGATGAAGGTAGTGGCCAAGATCGCCATCATCACTGCTGAGTTTTCACCCGTGGTAACCACCTGCCAAAAAGAAAAAAAACAATGAGGTGGGAAAAAGCAAAAAAAAATAAGGAAACGATAATCGGCCATGGCCTTTGTGCTTAAGGAGATTAATCTTTCGTGTGTGAGACATTTCAAAGGTGATGTTACTTCTACTGCTATAGGACCAGCCTGCAAGTAACCTCTAGAATGGACCGTGTGGATATCAATTTACCCAATCGGGGAAAGTGCAAAATGACACCATTTACTTTTTTATACAATGCAACGTGTTGACATTAGTTTTGAGCATTGGATGTGAAATTAGTTATGAGCATTGGATGTGAAATTGAGCAGCTGTAATTATTCTATTTATCTAGCTTAAATTTTTTTAAAAAAAAATTTTGAACTTTGTGATACGTCCAAGTTATTAAATTTCACATCAAATGGTTGTAAAGAATTGTGACTACCTTGTATCAAAAGTAAATGATCTCATTGTATACAATCCGTTAACAATTTTTTATATGAAATTCTTTCGTATGTACTCAATATTTTTTGGGATTGTCGAGACCATTTATTTTTGTACATAGAGGTCACACTCATTCCCAATGGCGTAAGATGAGCCACGAAGTTTGAGATTTTTTTTTTTTTGAAACTTTATATCACACTATTACAACCACTTATTTTGACATCGAAGGGACGAGAATAATTGCAACCTCCATGTACAAAAAAATAAATAGTCTCCTTGTAGGCAATCCCATAATTTTTGTAAAAAAATTTATATACAAACACAAAATAAGATGTGGTGTCAGGGGTTGGTCCATTTTTTAGATCACTTTATGATTGTCCTAAATTTTTAGGTTTTTTTATTTTATTGTCATTTTATCCTTTACTTGAAGCTCATTTGTCAAAAAAACACTTAAAAGTGTTGGATAGTTCAAAAGTCTAAATTAATATCACTTAAAAAAAAAAAAAGTCAAAATTCATATAAAAAAAAGACAAACTAAGTATTTTCGCAATTCAAAAGATGGACTTTCAGACCACCCAATACAAACTAGTCTTTTCATGTTTTGAGTGGTTATGAAGTTGAATTTTTTAACCATGCAATTACTCAATATATTTTTTAGTGTTTTGGGCAGCGCTAAAGTCGGATTTTCCTACCTTGGGAGAAATAAATTACTAGAATTTAAAATAATGAATTACGTACGAGCAAAAAAAAAAAAAAAACTGAAATATAAAATGAGTCAATTTTGGTTATAATTATAGGGAAAATCAATCATCCTAAGGTTTTTTTTTCAAAATTACCCCTTAGTCCAAGGATACAATCTTCGGAATGCATTTTATTCTTTCTTCGTTTTTTTGAGCTTTTTCAATACTAAGGTTGTGTCTTGATGTTTGTGGAAGTGCCCAGTTGGTTCGCTGTTAACATCATCGGACCGCCTTTCTGTGGTGCTCTTCAAAGCAGTCCGAGGTTAGCATCCTCAAACCGTAAAGATTGACTTGTTAAGCATTCAAAGCCAGTCCGAACTGCCCATTCTCAAACCTCCTTCTCTGGTGCTCTTCAAGGCAGTCCGAGGTTGGCATCCTCGGACTGCATTAACTCATTTGTTTTTTAAGGAATAAGGCGGTCTGAGGATACCAAACTCGGACTGCTTTCCGAAATGTACACTGCCCCTCACACTAAAGCACTGAAAAAAAATAAAAAATAAAAAGCACTTTAATGGCAGCCTGAGAGATAATTTTTTGAAAAAAAACATAGGTGGACTGACCTTGCATGTAACTTTTGCTCAAAATTGGGCCATTTCCCTTTTTTTTCGTTTATTTTTATATAATGTCCGTATATAAATTACTCGATTTAAAAACTTATATAACATTAAAATATTATCCCAGAGTATAAACACAGTATAATATGAAGGGAAGGAAGCCTTGCCCGTTTTTGGACCATCATTGCAGCGACCAAAATGTCAATGTGTCCCTTGAGGTTGAGCAGGAAGGCGAGGACTAGGCCCTCGTGGAATGGCATCCTCAAGTAAGTAGTAACCATCAGGGACCCGACCACCTTGCCGAGGGTGGAAAGGCCGACAATGGTGGCCGTGAGGGCCAGAAACCGGCCGGTCAGCTCCTGTACTTTGATCTGGATGGTGTTGTAGGTGAAGAAGATAGGCAGGGCGAAGGTCTTCATGGGATACTGGAGTTTGTCGAGGAGCAGATGCGCCATCCGCCCCTCTCTCGGGAACCTGACGCCCATCAGCAAGGCCCCCAGCATGCCGTTGAACCCCACCATCTCCGACAACAAGGAAAGGCCGCAAACCATCCCTCCGATCACCAGTATTTGGAACACACTCACATCCGGCTGCTTCTTGGCCATACGCCTAACGAACCAGTTGATTAATGGGACGATGATGATGGTTAGCACGAGGACGTAGCCGAACGCAAGGAATACCGATTCGATCAGGTTGATCGGGCTGAAATCCTGCTGCACGGGCTGGTTGAAGAGTACAGCAGCCACAAAGAGGCTGAAGACGTCGTTGATGATGGCGGACGACATGGCAAGGCGGCCGATCTCCGACATGGCCAGCTTCATATCTGCCGTCACTCGTGCCATGATGGGGGAAGCAGTGGTGACCAGTAGGATGGAGAAGATGGCCACGCCGTAGAAGAGGTGCATCCTGTTGCCCATGAGGGACACTGTAGCGGGGGCGGAAGCCACGCTGAGGGCGATGCACACGGTGATGCAGCCAGCTGACAAAAAGCCCGCCTTCTTGCCCATGCGCCAGAAGATGGTCGGGTCCATCTCCAGGCCTACCAAAAACATGTAGAGGACGCGGCCTGCAGTTGCCATGAAACCGATCACTTCCATAATCGTCTCGCTGAACATGATATGCTCCACAAATTTGATATTCCCTAATGCCGACGGCCCGATTATCAACCCTGTCTGCTCAAAACACACACAAGTGTTGTTAGCAAAACTCAGCCCGTCCAACTCGGAACTGCCCGGCCCACCCTGTTTTGGCCACTTTTAGTGGTCCGGCTAGGTATTTGAAAAATATTAAAAATATATACATAAAATCTCAAAAAAAAAAAATGCATTTTTAAATAATTTGTCATCGGTAGAGATTAGAAAATTTTTTGGGCCATGAATATTTATTTTTGCATTTTCCTACCTTTAGAAACAAAAAATTGAAAATACACGAGTTTGAAAATCTATTCCTTTCCGCTTTAACTCCATATAAATATAGTTTTCATATTTTCTTTGTTTTTTATGTTTTAACCCTCGGCCAAGTTTTAGCCGCCAATTATGAGGACCGAGCCCTGGCCCAGGTTCGATTTTTCAATAAGAAGACCATGAAACCAAATCAAATAGAGAAAATTCTAGATGCGGCAGGGCGTACAAGGAGCTCGGACACGACCATGGGCTGCTTTATCCGGCGCAGGAAGAAGTGGAGGAGCCTTGAAACAAGGAGGATCAAGCCGATGTCGAGTGCCAGGAGGAGCAAACCAACGGACATGTCTCTCACGGTAGCAGGCACTCCGCAGGCAGTATTGCCCCTGGCGGGGGCGTTGGACGAAAAATTCATATTCATCGGGTCGATGAGATGCACTACCTTGTCTTCGTCCATGGCTTGAGAGGCTGCGGCCAATTTGCACGGCTAAATTGCTTGCTTGGCAGGCTAGGCTAGGCTCGACGGCCGGGGGTTCCACACGCCGGGCTTTATGGCTCGGCTGGGGGGGGGGGGCGTGAAAGAGAGAGAAATGATGGGGAAGACGACGACAAGAGGGAGAGAGAGAGAGAGATTTCTTTCTTTTTTCTGTGTGTGAGAGTTCTGTTTGTTTTTGTGTTTACTTAGTTTTGGGATGGTGGAAGAGCGGGCATATAGGAGAGGGTGGGTTTGCATGAGAAAGGAACCCTGTTGTATAAAAACCATAAACAACTGAAATAAACAATATCCTTATCACACCCCTTTTATGCTGTCCAAACTGACTTAAAAAAAAAATTTAAAATTAAAAATAAATAAATAAACAATACTCTCTGTATTCAGAGAAATACCTTTTTATTTTCTCCCTCAAAATCGCAACTGTAGTTTCTCTCTCGATATCAAGGAACGAAGAAATTCCTTTCATGAAAGGAAAATCACCCTCTTGGATGGGACACCCCATTTTTTTTGAGAACCACTGACCAAAAGACTGGATTCACCTCTTCCCTCCCTAAAAGCCTATCAAGGCTCATCACTCTTTAACTCACTTTGCCCCACATCACAGTATCATTAACGCAAATCGATAATGGGTTGATTCAAACATGGGGAAGATGTTTTTCGGTTGATTTTAAAAAAAATTATTTAGAAAAAGGCTTTTTTTGTTTTTATGTTTAACGTTTTTATTTTTGGAAAACTTTTATTTTTAGGAAAAGTCTATCGTTTAGTTAGGGGATAATAGGAAGATTTATCTTTGGAGATTAACGTGATGGAGGAAGTTATTTGTACAAAGTTACATGGTGTGGGAGGTTATAGAAATAAAAAGAAACCTAATCCCTTAAGGGTCCTTTAGTTACGTGGAAATCTATTTACTATTAAAATGAAAAATATATTCCACCAGACTAGACGAGGTTGTTTTAAAACTCATAAAACCCATTACATGCAGTGAAGGTGAAAAATCTATTACACGAACTCATCAAACCCATGCGTAAGGGGTGAAAAAGCTATTTCACGCCCTTACAAGTAATCTTTAAAAAAATCTTCTCTATCTAAAAATTCCTATGTATCTCCCACTAAAAATTGCCTTCTCACAGAAACCAAACAGGAAACCCTACCCCCTCTCTCTTGCACCCCTCACTCTCTCCTTCTCCCTTCTCTCATAAACCAAGCAGCAAACTTTCTCTCATAAACCAAGCAGTAAGCCTTATCCCCTCTCTCTCTCCTTCCTCCAAAAGCATAAATTTTCCTCTTTTCCCTAATTTTCCCAAAACACAGTTTTTTTTGCTCTCTCCATCGAGAAACCTCTCCTTTCTGCTCTCACCATCAAAGAACCCTGCTCTCTAGCTTTGGACAGAAAGATACCATGTACACTCATCAATCTCTCTTGGTCTTCTTTTATTTGTTTCTCACTCTAGAATTCTTGATACTGGCTTTACTCAACCTTTTTTTTGGATACTGGTAAATCTTCTGATGGGTTTTAATCTCTCTCTACAACTTTGAGACGATTTTGATCCATCGCTAGACATTGTAGTTGCAACTTCATTGGTCTCTCTCTCTAAAACCTAGACAAGGTTTTGCTGTTAAAGTTTGTTTTGTTGTAGATAGTACCTACATCTTAAATAAGTTCCAGGGAATATCAATACCCAATTTTAACTTTTAATTGTTCTTGAAATCCAATGGGTAAATTTCTAAGACAGTTGCTTCATATTTATTTAACAAACGAACTTCTGATTGTTCTGATTCTAGGCAAACAACACTTCTAAGACAGTTGTTTCGGATTTATTTGAAAGACAAACTTTTGATTGTTTTGAAAATACAATGGGTAAATTTAAAATTCTTACTAACAAGTTTCTAATTTTTCAACGTCAAAAAGTTGTTTTTAATTTCTGAATTGGAAAAGTCCTTTAGCTGCTACAATTTCTCGTGACCATGTGACTTTTTATGTTCACTCATACATATTCTCAACTTTGTTATGGGCATGAGCAGTTAGACTATGGACCTACTTGTGAAACCTATTACTCTCTTTTCCCATTTGACTAATAACTGCTGAAAACAACAACACTAGGCATCAATCAAACTTTATATGCTGAATAGAGAAAACCTTTGATTAATAAAGGCAACTATAGTCTGATTTCTAATACATATAGTGTAATGCCGTAAAATCTGGACTCACTAATCCTAGTAACATGTAGTCCAAGCATTTGCTACTATTTAAATACTACCCAAACAGTAACAATTCATTTGCAAGTAATGTATCATGTCAATATTACTCTATTAATATATTTTCCAGACAATATATTTCCAAATTCCCTAATGACCCCTTAATATATGACTCGAATGGTAGTTATCTTTTTATTATCTTTAGAAATGAAAGGAATTAGGGTGTTCTTAGAAGGAAGAAGCTTTATAAAAGTAAGAGGGGCATTTTATTGTAATCTTGGTTGTGTTTTGTGAATAAGAAGTCGGAAGCTTTTGTTACTGAGCGTGTGGATAGAGATGGAGAGTAGCCCTTTTGTGGATTTTTCTTTTTACCCTCTTGCGTTTGTGGACACAGTGGAAGACTCGGATCCACACCCTTGCGCTATCTTCATGCTAATTTTTTCTCTATTTTTTTCTCTCTAAACGCAGCATTTTAATTAAAACAAAACTTTTACACATAAATAGCTAGTGCTAGCCAATGAGACACAAAATGCATTCACGAACATCCCAAGTTCAATTCCTACTAAAGAACTATCCAACAAAAAAATAAATAAATAATTGCATTCACAAGTCCATAATTCTTATATAATTGATGTTATTTACCTTTGATATTTGAAGGTCACAATTAACCTTAATTAATTGGACATAAAATTTGATTAACTACGACAACCCATTGATAGACTTAAAAGCCCATCCAAAAAAAAAAAAAATGAATTTTATGATACTAAGCTGTCAAATTTCACATTTATCCATTGTAAGTGTGACCTCATACCAAAGGTGTACAACATTCTAATATATCGCGGGATTATATATTACGGTAAAACCTCTTAAATTTGGTAGTAACAATCACTCCTAGCTATCAATTTAAAAGTAAATAGCTAATGGCGTATCGCAAATTTAAGAAAAATTTTATCGGAACCTAAGCACATGCAATAATGCACCCCAAATCGCCTGAAATTACATCCAATGGTTAATAGTGACTATGACCTCCATATACCAAAAGATAAACCATCACACTATATACTTCATGACCTCCATGTACCAAAAGATAAACCATCACACCATATACTTCATATGAGTGAAGTTTGTATAAGGTGCCCACCTTATACTGTACAAGTAAGGGGCCCTTTTAAGTTTTGCCATGAGCGTAGTTTCAATGTTAGAAATCTAATGATGGCTTGAAAATTTATTTTCAAGCTTAATTATAAGATTCAAAATTCTAAAAATGAGGCAGACAGAACGGATCTATAAACACATAAAAATCTTAAAAATAAACATTCCAGATAATATATTACGAAATACACCATTTTCAAAACCTGAATTCTTTTTTTTCTTTCCTTTATATCCATTGATATCAAAATCAAGACAATCAATTGGAAGGTTCTCCAACTTCATAATAATCTATTCTATTGGATTTTTGAAGTGCACCTTAAATCTATAGTACAAGGTTGCAACCTTATAAAACCTTTTTCCACTTCATATAAACATCACAAATTTGATACATATTACAATATTAGTCGAGTGGTACACGTCAATTTATAGAAGCAAAGACTTACTACAAAGAAGGAAATCTTCCATATTCAAAAATAGAAAAAAGTCTATATAAAAGTGAGGCCCTCAACAATTAAATTAAAACGCACCTCAAAAATTCACTAAAAGATGTTTTGAGCTAAAAATCCTCAATTCGATCATCTCGACCTCGAGATGTATGGAAATAAATAAAAAAATTGATTCCAAGTCTCGAAAATAGTACATCTTATAATGTATTATCTAGACCATTAATTTTCAAATCTTCACATATATCCTCCATATCCACTTCTCTTGGATCTTTAAATTATCTAATTATATATGAAAATAAATTTTCATGCCCTAACAAAAATTTCTGATATTGAAATAATATATTTTGGCATCATTTGAAGGTGCACCTTACTTTGGTTGGTTAGGGCGTCAGCCTTATACAAACCACACCCTTCAAAAAATGAGGAAAACAAATACATTTCTCACATCTCACATTTCAACATGCACAATCTCTACCAACAATTCTCATTTCCACACGCACAATCTCTCTCTCTCTCTCTCGCTCAAATATTTACCCAAGATGGCAAATAAAGATTAACAGCTTCTTGTCTCAAAATGTTAAGCTCACACCACACTTTCCACCTGTCTTTATTTCTAGTTTTACTTTATTTTGATTGTTTACTTCACTCAACTTCGTATAAACAGCACAAATGATGTAACTCTGCAGGGTTTGTTCAAACAAGACTCAACCCCTATGGTACCATGCTTCTTTCCAACTCAGTGAGAAAAAAATGGGATGATAACAATCACAACAGAAACAAAGGTATCCTGAACTGTGCAGAGAGAGCTTGTCATCAACGGAAACAAAGGTATCCTGAACTGTGCAGAGAGAGCGAGAGAATATTTCTCAGTGAAAGAGTATGAAAGTAGAGATGGACTTTCTACTGAAAAGAAGGTGAACATCGAGATGATGAAATTACCAGAAGGCATTGAATCATTTCCTCCTCCCCCGCAAGAACGATAAGCCAACCATATATACCACTGTTTAGATGTCTCTGTGCATGATTCAACAAATGGATAATATGCAGTAATGAGTTGCTTGTTTTTTGGTAAGCACTGCTTACTAAAGAGAAGTTAGCACCGTTTTTTCCTTTAGCAATGAGCAAAAGTCACACATGTACCAATCATTCATGTCAGCACAATTACTACATTACATTCTTCAAATCCCGGTTCCATACAAATTTCTTGGTTTCTTCATAATATGGTGAAACATATAATAAGACCGTTTTCCTTTAGTACAAAAAGTTCACAATCACCCTATGTGTTCGGTACAAAAGCAGGTGGTTGGGTTGTGCCCTTGATTGATCTCAAATTCCAAGGTAATTTTTCACGGAATTTGTGTGAAGAAATGACATACCTATATCCCCAGCCACCCAATTTTATACCCAATGGCCAGGGTTAATTGCGACCCTTTTGTACCAAAAGTAAATGGTCAGATGTTATATAATCCTTCAGAATATACATACATGAAGCACGAAATATGTTAAAAGAAACATGGTTCAAATGGGTCATATGATAGCAATCGGTATGTCAGGATTCGAACTAAAACCTTGAGTGTGTTTCTAGATTAAAATGAACATTAGCTAAAAAAAAGGACACCTAGATATGTACCATTGTCTAGCACGTCTTGCATGATGAAACAAATATATAAAATGTAAAGTTGAAAAAAAAAAAAAAAAAAACGGAACAACAAAATAATAGAATAAGCATGCCTTCATTTAACAAAACCAAAAAGAGAAAAAAAGAACCAAAAAACAAATGTAGAAGAGAATGTGAAAATGCATGGGGAAAGGAAAACCTAGGTCACAGCTAAAGGGCATCACACTATTCTACAAGCATAGAGAATGGGGGAGCCCGAGAAGTGGAAGTGGGATGTGAGAGAGAGAGGATTTGATCAATCACCAGCATTGGTGAATAAATTGCCAACACATTAATAGCCTTGGATATCACGCTCATTACAGCAAAATACAGAACCCCAAAAAAAAAAGAGATACAGGGCCTTACTTAAATTACTAAGATGTTGATGAAATGCCTGGTCCCTAGCCCAGATCTTTGATGAAATCTCCCATCTTATTAGGGGATTCACTATCTCTTGGCGTGACATATGGTGGGAAAGTAATCTTGAAGCAGATACTCTTGCAAAGGCAGGTGCTACAAATGCTAGTGCTGAGTGAATTTTTGTAGACTCAGTCCATACATTGTGGGGCTTTTTTGCCTTCTACCCTTTTCGTTTTGTTCCCTGTTTTTGTGATTTCTTTATACCTAAGTGGTACTTGTATAGAGCTCCCACTCCGTGGGTTGCCATTTTTTGCTGTATATAGTCTCAGTCTCCGTCTTTCCGAAGGCTCATTTTTTGTACACTTCTTTTCTTTCAATACAACTGCTAACTTTCTCAAAAAAATAATGAGCAATATGGTCAAAAGTCGAAATATTTGATGCCTTGGATCAAGGCTCATTTTTTGTAGACTTCTTTTCTTTCAATACAACTGCTAACTTTCTCAAAAAAATAATGAGCAATTTGGTAAAAAATCGAAATATTTGATGCCTTGGATCACTAAAAGGAAAACATTTTGATCAATAATGTTTATAAGTAGAAAGTGTAGGACAGGCAAGTATTCAGAAGTACTTTGGTAAGGTATCATGGTCGTTCCTTGTGGGCTCCTCAGAAAAACTGGTTTTAGCAATAAGTTGATTTAGTGTATCAAACTTTACATTATCAACATATCTCATTTATTGCTTATTGACAGGTTGTAATTTAGGTCTGGGGCATTAGTGGGTTGAGAGCCCCTGTCCCTTAACCTCTTCACTATTGGTGGCAAAATGGACAAAAGCATCACCAATCATATCATATGAACGCTGCCCCTAAAATCGAAACTAGATCGTAAAATGATTCCATCTATATTGGTGAAAGAGGGCCTTGGAAATCCCAGGAGAATTTTAACTATATAGGAGGAGATGTCAGAAAGGCAGATGTACTAATTTGTACAACCAAAAAGAGTGGCCAATTTTGCACGACAAGTCTCTGGGCAATGTCGAGAGACAAACAACCTGGAAAGCCATTTATTCCCAGAGACCAGTGGCACCCCTTTGTTCCCAAAGAAGCTGCCTTGTCCCTCCAAATGCCACGAATTATGAGATAGGTGGTCAATTGGTATTGGAAGATATTAAATTGGCTCTTTCATTAGTTACGGTGATTCGTCTTCTCTCCCAAATGTCACCAACAAAGTGGCAGAAGATCACAGGCTCGTCGAAGGACAATGTTAGTAGGAGAAATCATCTCAATCTTTGTATTCTCACCAACTGCAGGGCGAGTTTTGGACCATTTGTCATACCTTAGGATCTAACAGTGGCTTCCAAAATATATGCAGAAACAAGAAAAATCAGATTAGCACCATGCAGTTAGGCATCCATTCAAACTTTTGGGGCAAGCAGGTGCAAGAGGACCTAAAAATGGGTTCACTGGCATAGCTTTGATTAATCAAAGCTTATCTTTGCCCATTCACCTAATGGTAATTGACAAAAGAAGCTGATGGCATACAAAATGAAAGGCTTATGGGGAGATTAAATTTAAAGAGAGATTAAAGAAATGCTCGAGTTTTTGTTCCTTGTAATTTTTTCAATAAATCTATAAAAAATCAGCTGCCTCATAACCATAGGTATCTGAAATTCCGGTGTGATGAATATGGTGAGAAACAAACCAGTAAGGACCTAATGTCCCTAATTGCATGATGGAGTCAGAGTTATTATCTTACTTCTTAGACACCCTTGTACTATCCATAAATAAGGGTTCTAGATTTAGCATCTTTCGTATGGACCGTTACCTATGGAATGCAAGTTTAATAATAAAAGAGTAGAAACAAGGAAGTAGTTAAGATTGACGGCCAATAAATACCAAAAAGAGTGCACTTTCGATATTTTGGGTCGATAATCCAAGAAAATAGAGGAAGATATCGTACATAGAATTAGAGCTGGGTGGATGAGGTGGAGATGTGCAACAAGAGTTTTATGTAAACCAACTTTGCTTTTTGGAGTAGAATGTTGTGTTGTCATGAAACAACATACCTATAGGATGAGTGTAGCTGAGATGAAGATGTTGAGATGAATGAGTGGTAAGACAATGGATAGAATTCGAAATGACTATATTCGAGAGAACTTGGTTGTGGTTCCAATAGGTGATAAGATGGGTGAAAGTAGACTTAGATGAGCTGGCCATATGCATACGAGAATCCATGTATTATCGCATTCTCATTTTATTTTCTTGCCTAAAGGATACTAAACTCATTATCTTTTTACTCACCCAAAAACATAACGGACTTTGGACCCTGAAGATCCGAAGTGAATGAACTTCGGGCTTTAAAGGTTTGACGTCAAATATTTTGTTCACTTGGATTTATAAGGTCCAAAGTGGAGACATTTCAAGGAAATAAAAGACGAAAAAATGGAGATCGATGTGAAATACAAAAACTTATATATATCAACAGATATTAAGGGGACATGAGCATAAACTTCTCAATAGATAACTATGGATAGAATCTAAAGGAATCAATTAATATATTGAAAAAGTCTACTATCACATTATAACATACCCCCGGTTGGATACATGTCATTTCCACCATCTATATTCAACAATTGAAAGTGCAAGTGAGTCATTCATGGACAGTCATGGCAAAGTTTTACGTTGGCTGCCTACCTAACACAACCCACCTCTTTTACCCGGGCTTGGGACGGGTTATCGAAAAATTTAAGGTCGTCACCCTTCTTAGACCATTCTTCTGCTCAAATCCCCCACTGTCCTTAGTCCTTACAAGCATATAAATGGCTCACATCCACCATTTAATATTGAGTATGAACAGCTGAGATATATACAAATACCATAATATGCAGAAAGACAAATTTCAATTTCTATTGATGAACCTCGACAATTAGCCACTCTACCTTAGATCCAATGCACTAAAAAACTTCATATATTCAAAACAGATGTCAGAAAGCATCACCCTCAAACCAGCTTTAATATCCATATCATAAGTCCAAGTGGAAACAACTAGATATACACAACACGACAGATGAACCATAATTTACATTTAGGGAGAAATAATGCATACCTAGAGGAACATATCACCCAATTGTAAGAAACTTGTTGTGCAAGGTGTGACAGATGGAACTCAAGGTTAAACATTATCAGACCAGAACTCCATAAAAAATTCTCTCACAAACTGCTTCTCTTGCAAACGTGCCTCTTCTTCCTGCAGCTTCCTCATCCTTTTTGACAAGGCCTTGAATTTTTTCTGAAAATCCAAAGATTCCATAGATATTAGGAATTCGTAAGTCATAACACATTCAATGTATTAGCAAGATAACAAATGGGACCCACAAGTCTTGAGCAATGCAAAAGGGAAATAAGTTGCCAATCACAATTTAAAAAGTAAGGACATTGTCACAAAAACGATAAAATGTTTTTTTCTTTATTTTAATTATTGACAATGTTTCATTGAATTATAAACGGATGAACAAGTATATTCTCAAATAAGAAGAAGTACAATGACTGGGATGAACAAAATTTGACTAGGACGAGCTAGGGGATTCTTACCGCCAGGCGTGGGCATGAGATATGAAGAGGGAGGTTCAGTTAACCCCATCTCAAGACGAAGAAATAAATTCAAAATATTCTCATAACAAGAAATCATTCATGTAAGTTTATCGATCAGTGTGGAGACACAGTTGTCGTTTAGAAATCAGTGAAGTAACATTGTCCAGAGTGCATCTGTATCCAACAGTTCATTCCTCGAAGGCAAGCATCCAAGATTCATACGATATCAGAACTTTTATTCCCTAGTTTTATTTTCTTCTTCCTTGTGGTCAATTATATTTGCTATTTCATAAAGTCGCTCCAATTAGACGATAGCTTGTAATAAGAAAATAATAGGTTGTTTGTCTTAAAGGAGCTGAAAACCAAAATAATGGGGAAACTATATTCCTTCTCAACAAACATTTAAGGAAGTGTTAAAACCAAATTGTAAAGAATTCTCCATATTGTTATGATCTGAACTAAATATTCAAAATCCAAAAGAAAAGAGAGAGAGAGAATAACCAGTAAATAAGCTACTGGATCCTTTCTTTTCACCAATTCAAATTGTAGGTATTTTCTTTATTCCTAGTAAAATAAGGACCCTGACTACCTGACTCAAGTCACCAATTAATTACAATCTCATGAAAGAGATATTTTGGAATTAAAAGTAATTGGAACACTTTACAAATTCAATTATCATAAGAAGGCATTTTGACAAATGCAAAAGCACTATATAGAAACCATCATGTCCTAATAAATCCAATCTCACCGTAGCAAGTCAATTGAAACAAGTTTTACAAACATTGTGTGTCTGTACATATGCGCACCACATGATTAGCATACTGAATAGACCATGCATTCCAGTCAACAATCAAATAATTTTAAAGGGAAAAGAAATTATACCAAACTACAACTTACACTTTTCTTTTCCCCTGTATTTTTTGCAACTCCAGGATGTTGATTAGTTGACTGCTTTACCTTGTCCGCACCGAGACCACGTTTATTTTTCTTTACATGTGTTTCAACAGGCTCCAGCCTACCCTGAGCACCCATAACCAGTGATGCATAAATGAATAGCAGAAATTATTTTAAATAGTGTAAAATAAGGATGAATAAAAAAATAGCACAAATAAAGGGGCCAGTATAATGTGTTTCCTTGCAAGAATGTAAGAATGTAAGTAAGCATAGATGAGATGAATACCATTCCAAATGTTCATCTTGTTTCTACCAGATAAATGGACACACTATCTCGTCTCAAAAACCATGATGAAATGAACAATTAGAACCAAAATAACTATTGCAGGAACTTGGAATCTATTCAAGATTTTCCCTTGCTTAAAAACAAGTGAATATGAAGAAAGATATCTGGACCATAGTTTCTATAGCTTGCATCAAACAATAACTAAAACTGGATTGGATGCTTCTTGTTTCCATGCTAATCCTACAAGATCGTAAAGCTAGGCTCTTAACTCCAAGAAATAGCCCATTGAGACTCATCTGAATAAGTGACCCAAAACTAATACACCTCTTGCCAGAATGAAAAAAAAAAGACATGCTGCTGAGGGGAAAATTGTGCCACCCAACAAATAAATTTGCCTCCAGTTTTTCCGTTTCAACTAAAAAATTCACATATCTTTAATGTTATTAAGCATCTAACAATGCAAACGATGAGCTTTTTTCTGGCCATTTTTATTCTTTCCTATTTAAAAATTTGAAAAAAATAAAAATAAAGTAGAATGGAAAACTAATTGGTTAGCGCTTGGCAATTTGCAATGCTACGTCCTAGGCTCAATTCCTACCAAGGGTAGGGGAGCTCTCCCCACTGACTCACCCAAAAAAAAAAAGCAAAATGGGAAGCTAAAGAACCATATCCTTTCATCTTCACACTGACGTGACATAAAAAATCATATTCAAGCCTGAAATATGGATAATCAACTGGAAATTCACCAAATATCCATCATCATTAAAGTCTTTTGCCAACCAATTGGGGTCAGCTATACGAATCTTGATCCGTCATTCTGCTCTATTAAAAGCTATACCCTCAGTGAGATTGTAAGTCCCCATATCTTTTCTCACAACTTCCACTCATGCCCCTTTGGGCCTACCCCTTGCCCTTTTTTAGCCTTCCACTTGAACTAACTCGTACCTCCTAACAAGTGTTGTACTAGGTCTACTCCACACAAGATCAACCCACCTAAGTCTACTTTCTTTCATCTTATCGTCTCTCGAATTCTCCCGAATGTATTCATTTCGAATTTTATCCCTTCTTGTCTTTTCACTCACCATCTCAACATCCTTATCTCGGCTATACTAATTCTATGGATATGTTGTCTCCTGACCGCCCAACATTTTACCCCATAAAGTGAAGCTGGTCTCATGGTTATCCTATAGAACTTACCCTTCAAATTCATTGGTATGCAATAACCACATAAAACTTTGGTTGCACATCTCAACTGTGCCCCCCTAGCTCTAATTCTAAATTCAAATAATAAGCAAAATAACCCAATATGGAAATCATTAATTTCTAACCTAATCACTCAATTAACCCTTCTTAATAATTAAATTCGTATCTTAATTTCTGATGGTTGTTCCTTTGTACCATCATGTTGCAGATTCAACCCAAAATGAAGAAAGAAGATGCAACAGTATCCTAAACGAAAATCGAAGAGCTTAAAGTATCATAAACTCTAAATTACATCGCACTTAAAATTCAATACAGGAAGTTTTCTTTTAAAAAACAGTAACTAATGAGTGAAAAAATGAACAAAAACTGCCAAAACTTGGAGAAAGAAAACCAAAATTGCATCTAAATGCGACAAGGTTAATTTGCTAAAATTTGAGAGCCATTAGTGGAGATTCCTAGTTCTTCCCTGTCTAAAAAGGAAGAAAAAAAAACCCAACTCAACGAATTTCAATGGAAATTAACATCACACTCCCCCACTTCCTTGTCAGATTCAATTTACAGTAACATATACTTAATCGAGATAAGCAAACAATAAAAGACAGTCCTACCATCCATGATAACTCAACCCTAGATACCACCCCTATTATCCTCTCTCTCTCTCAAAAAAAAAATAAAAGTCATTGTCATGATAAGTAAACCCTAAAAAAGTGTCAATACCTGCTCTGAAGTTCCGAGACCTGTGCCTTCTTTCCATCCACACTTCTTTAGCAACTGCGACATAAACAAACCAATTTGTGAGCAGATTATACCAGAGAATAAGCCAAAGGAAAGGAAAATAAAAGCGGAAAAAAAAAAAAAAAGGTGAGAAAAATAATATACCTGAAATCCAATGTTTGAAGAATCGATTGCCCGATTATTAGAAACCAATTCATCCCCCATCCTGTGATTTTCTGAGAGAGAATCAAAAATTTAAATGAGTTAAAAGAGAGGAGCGGCTTTGGCAAATAAAGGGTCGGAGTCGAGCGTGGCCAAAATCAGCATCTATATAGTTGCTGGGGGGGCCTATATTATGCTCCCGCCGGAGCATATGCACGTCTACTCCCTCACTCAAAAGGCTTCCGTGGGAGCATTTTCTATTTTTTGTATCAAATTATTGCGAGCATTCTTATAGTTTTTAAAAGAAAGGTATACTAATTATTTTTTAGTACATAGATGTCACAATCAATCTTGTCAATCAATTTTAAATTTGATGGTTATATATCATTGATTAAACTCAAAGTTCAAAAAATATTACACACCCTAATGTATCCAATTTGACATTAGATTATAAGTGATTGTGACCTTTTTGTAATAACGATAAACAATTTTATAGCATATTATCTTATTTTTTAAATAAATATGATGCTTAAATTTTGCCCTTAAAAAATTGAAGAGTTTTTGTTCAATCTTGATATATTCTTCTGTTCTAGTGCATAGACTTAAATTTGGAAATTCTCTTGGGATTTGATACTATGAAACTATTTACTTTTTGTACATGAAAATCACAATTACCTACAACCATTTGATGTGAATCTAACATATGCGAACTTAGGTGCATCATAAAGTTTCGAAATTTTTATTCTGAACTTTAAACCTAATCAATAATAAATGCAACTGTCCAATTTCACATCTAATAATTAAGTTTTATTGTGACCTCCATATACCAAATATAAATAATTTTATTGTATATTTTCTTTTTTTTAACAATGAGGTAGTTTATGGACTGAAGAGGTTAAATCCTAAAAATTTTAAAATAGAGAATATGAAAACTTCTTCCCTATTGGTTTTACCCGAGGGAGTAAATCAATAGCGTACTCCCGCATGAGTATAAAATCTTTTGGCATACTTATTTCTTTTCATTTGCGCGTATAGCATGCTCCTCTGACCAAACTGTACAACAATTACCTCAGGCAACAAAGCTACGTGTTAGATTTTTTTAGGGAAAATATCTCCATAATCCATATTTTTATCTTTCATTTCATATACCAAAAGTTTTAAAATATGTATTGAGGCATAAAAATTGTAATTTTTTTTTTCTTATAACCCTTTAAACATATTTTTTTAAGTCAAACAAATATAAAAATACGTACTTTTTCTAAAAGCCATCTTCCCAAACTTTAATATCTTTCTCTCTTCTCGCACCCCTTCTCTCTGTCTTTCTCGTCTTTCCCATCTCTCTCTGTCTTTCACATTCTCCCAAACTTCTCACTTTCTCTCTCTCCCCTGTTACTCTCCCTCAAACCCCTTTTTTCTCTCTGTATTACCTCCATTCTCTCTCCTACTGTTTTCCCAAACCCCTCCCTCTCTCTCTTTTCATGCGTTTCCCCAACCCCTCTTTCTCCAGGTTTCCAATCTCTCTCTCCTTGTGTTACAGTAGGTTGTCAAAAGTTGCTATAGGGTCTTCATAAAAAAAACCTGGGATATAAACAAAAAAATTGAAATGAGTATTTCTACAAACCAAATGACTACAAGTCATACACATATCCATACTATCAACTGTGGCAATACTAATTTTCCCACTAATGTCACGAGAGAGATTCCCAAACCTAAGCCAAAAATGCATCGCCAACCATATATGAAGCCTTGTAAACCCCAAAGAAATAACCTCAAGCTCTCAACATTTCCGGTCATGTTGTTCATTCCAACTAGAAGCTCCTCATAAGAAAAGGCTTCTTCATACGCTTTTCTTAGGGGTGATCTCTTTACATAGCTATTGTGCTATTTCTCTCAACAATGTCAATTGATGCTTGGTGGTGAGAGATTATCGAAAGGAAAAATACAGGTGTTTGGATATACATGGGGAGAAAGAAAGAGATGTCTGGATAAACACGAGAGGAGACAAAGTGAAAAATGCCATAAAAGATAAAAATAAAAGTTTGGGGCATATAAATGAAAATAGATAAAGAATTGAGTTTAGAAATAACATGTCTTTATCACATTTATTTAGGTTAAAAATTAGATTTAAAGTGGGCAGGGGTTGGAATATATCTTTTGATATATTGGGTTTATCAATAAATCAAATCTAAAGCTATGGGATATGGAGATATATATATACATCTATATATTTTTTTATCCAAAAAGTTTGGGATCCATAATAAGGGTGGCGATTGGTCGGGTTCGGGCGGTCCGGCCCCAACAATATATTATTGGGCCTAGACTTGGACCTGGACCTGACCAGGTCCAGAGTCCCCGAATACAAACCCAAACCCAAAAATGTAATGAGAGACCGAACTTGAACCAAAAAATCAAAACATCTATATATTTCAATAGGGTGTAGTTTGTGGAAGGTTGCAACCTTAAACGATTAAAGTAAGGTGCATCTCCAAACTTCATCATGAGATGTAATTTTAGGTTCCAAAATTCATAGAATGTGCAACAATCTATTTTCTAATTATAAAAATTTAAATTACAAAAATGATTCGAATCACATAGATATTAAAATACATGAAAATTTGGAAAATGAATGGTTTAGATGATATGCAGCAACATGCATTATTTTTAACACTTGAAATCTATTTTTTATTTCATATCTATACATTTCGATGTTGAGGTTATCAATTCAATGTTTTTCCAACATCAAAACAACATTTTTCGAAATATTTTAAAGTACGCCTTAGTTCTACATTTTAAGGTGTACCCATGGTCAATTCCTTGCCACCTTATAGATCCTATTGAAATTTTGGAGCAATTTTAAAGTAAATAACATTATTGGGGTAGTTATAAAAGGGAAAGTATAAAAAAAATACAATTTTTTTGTCATACAAGGATTTCATAATTACTATTGTCCATCATATTTAAAATTAGATAATTGTAAGAGTGTCATTGACTAGACTCAATGTTCAAAAAACGTTATTGATCTTCATGAAACATTTCAAGCCATCAAATCTGACATATAATAATTAGGAGTAGTTGTTACCTCTTTGTAACAAAGATAAATGGTATCACAGTATATAATCCTGTTGTTATATATATATATATACATATATATATATATATTTAATTAATAATATAGTATCAAAAGTGTTGAGAAAGAGGAAGTTTGAAAAGTGCAAATTAGGGGTTTCTATAATTCTATCTATTTTTTATGATTGTAAACTATTGTCAGATTTATTGCTTACAAATATTTTTATCAAATTAAAATATTTATTTGTAAATAGTGCCAGTACATATTGTATTGCAATGTAATTTAGGAATTGAGTATAGGCTTTGACGTTAGCAACGCTGCATCGTTAGTTTCACATGGTTTATCTACCCAAAAAATGATAAAAAAGGCTTAAGTTAATTTAATAATTGACTTAAGAAAAGTAATGATCTTAAACTTTCTCTTAACCCATCCCAAACATGGGTAAAATGGGTGGGTTGTATTAGGTAAGCAACAAACGTAAAATTATTAAAACTTTTTATTCGTATAGAATAAGATATGGTTGGAAGTCGTAAAAAAAGATATAGAAACTTATAATCTCACTTAATAGAGAATGGGGACAAGGATTTGTGTTGCCAACCCTTACTAGTTGAAAAACAAAGGCTTTGATGATGATATAATAAACAACAATATTTATTCAAAATTTGCCGGAAGATGCAATTATGGTGTAAAAAACCTTTCGATAACGTTAAAATCTATGTTCAATCCTAATCATAAATTTTAATTTTTTAAAACAGTGTAAATCGAGCCGATGTATAAACAATTAAAAATATTTCAAATAAATTGCCTAGAAAACTTATTGGATGGTACAGTATATTTGGACTTGATTTTTTTTTTTTAATATCTATACGTGTCTTGGTTGAAATGATCAATGTCACCAATTTCGAAACACTTTTTTCTACTAGGTTTTTGTAGTGCACTTTACTTTCCGGTATTTATCCGATAAAATAATCGACCTCCGATAAATCGTCGCCAAAGCGAATGCCTATAAAATCCCGTTTTTTATGAGACTTCAGGCTTTTAACTCAGGGAACTTTGTTCTTAGCTCCAACTGTATTAGACTTTCCACTTCCAATTTATTTTGGAAAGACCGGCGCCAAGCTCCAGTTCTCTGCAACTTTCTAGCTCGGCGCCATGGATCTGGATCTATGGATTCAGAAGGTTAAGGAAGGCCAGCATTTAATGGAAGACGAGCTTCAGCTCTTATGTGAATATGTGGGTGCCCTAACCCTAACCCCAATACTAACCCTAGAACTTTCATGGTTTTATGTTACATGGTGTATCGATTAGCCCTTTTTTTTTCTATCTTTTTTTTCCTCAGGAGTTTGGGTTTTTGAGACTGTTCAGTTTGTTTTTTTGTGTATTTTGTGGAGAGTAACCCAATTTTAGATCTCGCGGTACATTTTTTTGCGGAGTGTTTACGTTTTTAATGTTATTCTGGTTTTGAGCTTCATGTATTGGGGTACTTTTTTGCAACTTTTTTGGGGTTTTATGTATACTTGGTTTGATATTCGTCTTAGGATTTTTGAATGCATATTAGTTTCCACTTTATAGCATTAAAAATGAAAAAAAAATCAATTCCAGCACTGGGATTTTGCATCCATTGTACAACTTCAAGTACTGATGCGTATAGGTCACCTCTCGCACCAACTGCATGTGTATTAATATATAAGACACCAATATTTATGTATATCATGTACTTAAAATAAACAAATAAGTTAGGGAATGTATTTGCACGTACAAATTTCAATATAATAAGACAAATTTTAATGAAAACAAAGTTTTTATTTATTTATTTATTTTATTTGACACTGGTAACACCAGCTCTTTTTGTGGAAATCCAAGTTTTCAGTCTCTAGGTTATGGGCCAGAAGAGAGTAAAGGAGGGCGATTAAAATATGTATAGGTCGGCCTTTAAATGTCGAAGAGGCAAACTGAATGTGTTATGATGATAGGTTGGGTGGTAGTTTTTTCCCAATATCTTGGTCGTTGTGTTTTGCAAGCTTATTCCAAATTTTAATAATAGGTTTTGCTGAATCTGTCAGGTGAAAGAGATTCTTGTGGAGGAGTCCAATGTTCAGCCTGTTAATAGCCCTGTAACTGTTTGTGGTGACATTCATGGCCAGTTCCATGACCTAATGAAACTTTTTCAAACAGGTGGCCATGTGCCAGAGACCAACTATATTTTTATGGTAAGATATTTTACTCACATTTGCAAGTACGGTTTGAATGAGGCCTCGAAACTGAATGAGCATTGGTTCTATGACTCTTTCTAAATTGTTCATAGGGGGACTTTGTGGATCGTGGTTACAACAGCCTTGAAGTATTTACAATTCTTCTTCTTCTTAAAGCCAGGTAAATAGTGGATTTCCTTTGAATGCTGGCTAGTGATGTTTGGCTATGTTCCTCGTGATGCATGCCCTATAAGTTCGTTATCAGTTCTTATTTTGTGTTTGAAGTTGAGTTTTGCTTGAAATTTCAACTCAACCAGTTCATTTGAATGATTATGCCCTGCCATTTTATTAGTCTAAAAGAATCACCAAGGACTCATATTTGATGAAAGTAGAAAATATCGTGATCTTTCTAAGTTGTCTAATTTGTGCCCTTTTTGTTTTTTCATCTTTCTAAGTTGTCTTATTTGTGCCCTTTTCTATTTTGATAAATGATAAGTTTCCTTCTATTACATGACAAAACCCAAGAGGGTATACCTGAAAGATCTATAGAACTTCTAAATACTCCGATTTTGGAATAGTAACTGTGTACAAGACGTAAAGATATGCTAAATGATAACTGGCTTCCAAAATGATACTGTATAGTCTCCATGAAAAAAAAGTACCACTCTTTACCCTTGAATGATATCACCCTGAGCTAAGCTTCTAATTCCTTCAATAACTGTATGCCTATATCCATCTTATCATGGTTGTGGTCTACCATCTACCCATAATAGAGGATATACATGGGACGATAATATTCTTCGGTCACATGTGAATGTGTGGTGGAATGGGAGGTCATTTGGCTGGGCACATAGAGGTTGTCTCACATGGAAACCCCCTTTTTGCCAGCGTGATGGGATTGACATTGATTTTAATATTGGGATGCCTGAAATGCCCGTAGGTGTGTATGCTATATATTGTCATTTGGGTGCCTTTGTCTTTTCATGGGAGAGCTTCCTGTTTGATAAAAACATAGCAGGTGCATTTCACTTTACATTTCACCCACTTCCTTTGCAACCAAAAAAAGTAATTTGGTTCAATTAATGCTATTGGAGTTAAAATATGGTCGGGCATTGAGCACTGTAAGTTCCCTTTTTCTAAATTTCTATTTGTAACAGATTTGAGAGTTTGGAATTTTTTACCCAACTGAACATGAAGATATTATTTGGTTGTTCTCTTGTGGGGGATATTTCCCTTGGCAGTATCTCTGTAAGAATTTTATGCAAATACATGTATTGGCTATTTTGTCAAATGTTTTTTTGTTGATAGAATTTACATTGTCAGATACCTAGGTTTTATGGTTGAGTCGAGAAAGTCAATGCTGGCTTGTTTTTTTTCATCTTCTTATCCATTTTTATCTATGGGTCACATAAGGCTTTTCTGCAGTACTAGAGGATTGAGGTGGGCTGTTTCGTTTCCCCTATTGTATTTTTAATTATGTTCGAAGCCTTGAGTCATTTGATTGGCAAGCGGTTAAAGCTGGTTTGGTTGAGGGAGATGTTATTCTGCCCGTCACAGTAAGCTCGTTTTCATAAAATGGTTGCCTCTATGACCAAGATGTACAAAGTAAAATCAGGAAATCAAAAGGAAAACCCAAACAATCAGGAGCCGGGCTGAAAAAACCAAAATTTTTCCATTGTCGTTTCCTGAATAAGCCCATGCTCTAAAGTTTGCCTCTTGCCATTTATGCTGAAAGTAGGTGCCAATATGCCTGCATTAATGAGAGATTTGCTCAAAATATGTTCAAGTCTCCATGGACAGCCAGAGTCCCCCGAGGCTGAAGCTGTGACATTCTTTGTGTCCCCTAACCCTTCGATGACCAAAATCTCCCCCTATTCCTAATTGAATCTCGTAATGCCCTCAAGGAGGGCCAAAGCTTCAGCCATGGTGGAATTGACATTCCTTGGTTGAGGAATTGGCTGTTGTGCTGATGTTATTGCTTTCTAATTCCTAATGGCTCCATGATTTTGTGATTCTTTTCTTGGCATCTTGTGAGCTCTTCACTATGGTCTACCGTTGTGGATCTGTGTGCCATATGAGCTATCTTGGGGTCCATTATTTGAAAGGTGAAAAAGACCACTGATGCATGGAGAGGTCATTTTTTTTTTGAACTTTACTTGAGTGTGCTTACAACCCCCCCCCCCCCCCCCCCCATCATTGAGGAAATTACCTCAGCCTATGTTACAAAGACATGTATATTCGGGTTATCGTCTGACTTCAACATGTGTTAGAAATGCTAGCCCCAACATTAGTGTTCAGATATGATATGTCAGTAAGCCATTTAGAGGAACAATGTGGAATTTTATTAAGTGACAAAGTATTTTAGAAGTATTTTTTTTTAAATGGGTGACAAAGTGTTTAAGTTTGTGAAGTGTCAAACATGCATGTCATGTCCTTGGCATTTTGCCATGTGCTCAGACCTCTAGAGTCATGTATCTAAGTTGCATAAGGGTGGCAATGGATATGGATTCGACTTGAGACCCGACGGGTAGATTGGCTTGGGTCTAGGCATGGGTGTAGAATTTGAACCCGTCAGGTCGGGCCTAAGTCTGAACTTGGACCATTTTGTATTCGGGTCCAGGTCCCAATCTAGGTCTATATGGACTTGACCTAGGATATATAAGTTATTTTTTATAAAAATATATATATTTATGAGTTATAATATTAAAATAGTGTTTGTTATATTTAAATAGGTTAAATAGATGGACGGTGGAAAAAAAAAATTTAACCCCTTATAATCCATTGTTCTAGAATTCCATTCATGATTGAATCAATCGTTTCTCTCTCTCTTCTTCTTCTCAATACTCACTTGAAAACACCAAACAACCAGGAGGGTTAGGGTTTCGGTTCGTCTCTCTCTCTTTTGCTCCTCACCACGACAACCATCGCCAGTGATTCAATGAACCAGGGTCGTGAGCTCTCTCTCATCTGTGCGAAAACCAGGAGGCTCAAGGGTTAGGGTTTTGATTTCTCTCTCTATCTCTCTCACTCTCTCACTCTCTCTCTTTCACTCTTCACCACTGCCAGTGAACCAGGGTCCAAGCTCTCTCATTTGCATTTTGTAAGCAGCCAAGCAAGCCAAGCAATCTATAGCTTGGAAATTACTATGTATCTCTCTCACAAAATAATGGATTGGAGAGATAAAGATAATGGATATAGAGAGAGAAAGGTGGGCTACGGTGAGAGATAGAATTATGATTGGTATTGTCATTATGGAGAGGTGAAATTTGGTGTTTTGGGTGTTATGGGTCATGTTTATTTGGGCAAGAAATGGAGGGTCGATGGACAATAAGAGGTTTTGGGCTTATGGTGTCTAATCTATATGGGAGAAATGAAGTTTAGGGGGAGAGAGAAGGGAGGAGAGAGGAAGAGGAGGATGAGAGGAAGAACATCAGGGAAGTCTCTTTGATTTCCCGGTTCGCGTCTGTGTCCAAATCCAAAGAAATGGTTCAGGTCTGAGTATGGGTCTGTTCGGACCTGACCCATTGCCACCCCTAAAGTTGCATAGGCCTCAATCATAGCAGTTGAATGGTTACCTTGTTGGCTATTTGTCTGTCTGTTTATATGACCCTGCCCTAGGGTTTTAGGGCCCATATTCTTATCAATACACCTCAAAATTATGTCATGAGAATAAGAGCTTTGTTGTTGGTTAACATCTTTAACCCATCCCAAGCCTAGGTAAACGGGGTGGGTTGTGTTAGGTCAACCAACGTAAAACTTTGTCAAAACTTCTCATGGATCCGGAATATATGCTATCAACTTATGCTAGGGCATTCCTCGTAAGTGATGCACTATACTGGAACCCAGGTATAGTGCGAAATAAGCAAAGATTAGCTAGGGCGTTCCCTAGAAGCGACCCATCATAGTGCTACCCGATTGCCGTGAAAAATAAGCAAGGGTTCCTGCGGCAGTCTAGATGAGTGTGCGTAAAGAGGCTAGTCGAAGATAATAAGATTCACCTAGCCACATGGAATGTAGGAGCTCTTACAGGTAAAAATATGGAGTTAGTGGATACAATGAGACGAATGAGAGTAAACATAGGTTGCCTACATGAAACAAAGTAGAAAGGAAAGAAATCTAAGGAAATAGATGGGTATAAAGTAAACTTTGGTATGGACGGCTGCATAAAGACGTGGAAGAGAGGGGGTGGAATTAATACGTGTCCAAGAACTAGGCGGTGGAATTTAAAAAATGAGAAAGACAGAAAATGGAACTCTGAACATGAGGTCATGTCATTTGAAATGAGATGGCTGATTGTATTAAAAAAGTGGAAAAAAAAGCTTTAGGAGAATCTATAGGGAAAAGAAAATTCAATAAAGAAACTTGGTGGTAGAGTGATGAGGTTCAAAAGGCCATATGTAGAAAACGATCATGTTATAAAACTTGGCAATGTAATACAAATGATCAAAGCTTAAAAGAATGTAAAAATGCTAAGAAAAACACCAAACAAACAGTAAGGCTAAACTTAAGGCATATAATAATCGATAGAGTAAATTGGGAACAAAAAAAGGTGAAAAAGATGTCTTCAAATTAGCGAAAATGAGAAAAAAAGTGGAGGGATCTAGACCATATTAAATATATTGAGTGAGGAAGAGGTCAACGAAAGGTGAAGAATTTATTTTTAAAAATTATTAAATGACGAACATAATGGGACCATAACGGCAGAAGAAACCGTTGGCATAAATGACGGCGGAGGTCAATAGATACATTTGTAGGATTAGTATATCAAAAGTGAAAGAAGCTTTGAAGAGGATGAAGATAGGAAACGCTTTAGGACTAGATGATATTTTGATAGAGGTTTGGAAGTACATTGGGGTGACTAACATTGACTTACTGATCAAGCTGTTCAACAAGATGTTGAAAACAAAGAAAATGCAGATGAACGAAGGAAAAGTACTGTGATACCTATTTACAAGAACAAAGGAGACATACAGAATTGTGGGAATTATCGAGGGATCGAGCTTATAAGTCACATTATGAAGCTGTGGGCGAGAGTGATTGAGCAACGATTAAGGCTTAGAACGAGTGTATCAGAAAACCAATTCAATTTTAGTGCATGGGAGGTCAACAATCGAGGCTATTTTTCTACTTAGGCAATTGATTGAGAAGTTTAGTGCGAAGGGAAAAGACTTCCACATGGTCTTTAATGATTTAGAGAAAGCTTATGATGGAGTACCTAGAGATTTGATTTGGTGGGTGTTGGAAAAGAAAGGAGTCTCAAGATACTACATTGACTTAGTAAGAGATATGTACGAGAGAGTGCTAACTAGTGTACGAACAACTATTAGAGAGATGAGCGAGTTTTCAGTGACAATAGGTTTACATCAAAGGTCAGCATTGGGCCCATACCTCTTTGTCTTAGTTATGGACAATTGAACTAGACACTTAGAAGATGATGTACTGTAGCGCATGTTGTTTGCAGATGACATAGTTTTAATCGATGAGACCCGAAACAACGTCAATACAAAGTTAGAACTTTGGAGAAATGCTTTAGAATCTAAAGGTTTTAAAATTAGCCTGACTTAGACTGAGTATATGGTAATTATAGGAGTAGAAACGAGGAAGTTATTACGATTGACGGTTAATAAATACTAAAACGAACGCACTTTCGATATCTTGGGTCAATAATCCAAAAAAATGGAGAGATTGAGGAAGATGTACATAGAATTAGAGCTGGGTGGGTGAAGTGGAGATGCGCAATAAGAGTTTTATGTGATCGCCATATAACAATGAAGCTAAAGGGCAAGTTCTACAGGACAGCTGTGAGACCATCTTTACTTTATGGGGCGAAATGTTGGGTCGTTGACAAGATACATGTAGAATGAGTGTAGTTGAGATGGACGAGAAGGGATAGAATTTGAAATGAATACATTCGGGAGAATTTAGATGAGGCACCAATAGGCAATGAGATGAGAGAAAGTGGACTTAAGTGGGCTTCCATGCGTGGCGCAGACCTAATACCACACCTGTGAAGATGTCACACCCCAAGAATTTATAATACTGTTATTCCTGAGATGTGACAGACGAAACATATATACATCTATTGATAGGACAAATTTACAGTGGCGAGGTCTTACAAAGTAACAAAAGAAA